CAATGTAAAGTCAAAAGTACTTTTTTTCCTTCTATTTTTCAATAGTATTTTAATTTGGAGCTAGAAAATGCCATTTACAATACAATCAATTTGATAAGTTTTGGGTATTTCATTCTTTCAGGTTTTAATTTAATTTATCAGAATTCCTCACTAATAATGTGCAATTTTAGATGGAAGTCTCCTTCTTGTCAATCATCTGCCATGCCCCTTAATACGGTCCTAATTCTGCATGTAATTCAAAGTCACTATTATTTTCTATGACCATATAGAGAAAATGCATAGACAGTACAGTGTATATCATTTAGGGTACATCTAAAGGAGCATATAACTGGTATTTGACCGTGCAGATTCTTGTGCACTCATCCAGGTCATAGTAAGCTGAAAAAAACATGAAGCCTCTTGGATGAGGCTGAAACGTCTATCTTCTACCTAGAACCAAGTCCAGTTGATTTTTTTTCTGTTTTTTCAACTGGTATTTGAATGTAAAATGTGAAGAGGTATGTTAAATGTCATAAACACCAAGTTTCTCCATAAAAAAGGACTCTACATAAAAACTATCTACTTGAAAGCAATTAGAACAACAAGCTTCTGCATATCATCTGAGGTGTTAAAAAATAAAAATAAAAATGCTATAGAAAGACTGAATCTTTGCTGGTGGTTCCATCACTACCTCAGAGACAATTACAAGCAAAAGCACCCCCAGCACTGATAACAGATGTTTTTTTTTATAGGACTAATTCAAAACTAGCCTTGTGATATTAAATGCTTAACTTTAAAGTTGTATTTACTATAACTATAATGCTCATACAATATGAATGATCTTTTATAATTTTCATTTAGCTAAACACTTGAGTCTAATGTAAACTTGGACACAACATCAAAACTGACCAGTTTATCTTCATTCAGCAAAACCTGCGAACATTTTTACTTTGCCTCTAAACACTGGGCTTCTCCTGAGTTCGGACAAGGCTGTCACAGTTTCACAAGAGAATGTTTAAACGACGACAGATACTGCACACTGACTGTTCAACTTCCCATTGTTACCCCAGGATTTATCAAATGTCTTATTCTGTCAGTTATGGATCTTTCTCTGTTGCCTGAAGACTAAGGGGTGTCATGGGGCAACCCTGAAATGACACCTGCATCTCCCCCCAATAAAATAAAACAAATGCGCACCAACCCAGCAAGCAAAGATTGTTTTGGGCAGATGGGGTTTGGCTTAAAACCTATTGATCGGAAATGAGATGTGGTCAAAGGAGGGATGAGGTTAGAAAGTGTGTGTGTGTGTGTGTGTATAAGGGTCACCCATGTCATTGGCAGTGGCTGTTTACCTAGAGGCGATTGCTGGCCTCACACCCAAGCCCTTCCCAGACAGAGGCGCATGGTAAATAATAGAAGAGCTATGACTGAGGGCAGGCACACAAACACAGACCAGTATCAAGGTTAAAGATAGGGGTGTGTGTGTGTGTGTGTGTGTGTGTGTAAGGGGAGAGCTCTTTATCGGCACGTCATTAATACATGAGGAGGGCTCACCAAACCAGAGAGGAGAGACAGTGTGGATCCTGACATCTGCATATCGAATGCATGACAGGTCTATGTCTCAGTGACCGTTCAGTCAATATGATTTGAGAGTCAGGTGACTTCCACCCCACTTACTCACATTACAACCTCTCACCATCTATAAGCTTTTGACCCAGTGGGTGAAGATAGGTGTAGTAATAATAATCATGTGGTTTTCGAAAAAGTGCCCACAGACAGATGTGTCACCACACAGTTTTATGAATTTCACTGTTCGACCTTGTAAAAAAAAGATTTTCCTAGGGGGACAGAATGTTATCCTGCAGCTGTGATCAGAGCACTTTAACAGTCAGTTAAAACTTAACAGCAAAAGTCATCCACTCTTCATGAAGCAAAATAAAACTAAAAAAAAAAGTACTTACATTTTTATCAATACTTAGCAATAATACTAAATTATAAGCTGTTTGCTTATGATAAACCTGCGGTTGGTCATTCTGATAGAGCTGTAGCATCCACTCAGTTATAAAACACAAGGCGTTACGCTGATTATCTTTGATGTTTAACTGAAAAAAGCTATTTGATAACATCTGATGGACCTATTTTATAATTTCCTGACATTTAAAGGAATTTATCAATAAAATTGTTTCATTGATAACAATAATTGCTTTTTAGTTACTTTTCCAAAATCCTGGATTTAAACCAGACAAATGCAAAAGTAAAATCATTTTTGCTTTTGTGGGTTAATGTTACTGTTTTCTAACCACAGTGAAAATGTAATAGTTGTTAAGCATTCGAGTATCCTTGTTTGTTTTCCTGAAGAAGCGTATGAGGTTAAAAACGGGGACTGTGGCTACGGGATCATATTGTCCTGTACAAGAATGGTTGTCTCCGTGTGTGTATTAATGTGCTGGTGTTAAATACACTGAACAGTGCGGTGGATGTCACCAATCTCATCAGTAGTGGTCGAATGTGGATACAATCCCTCAGAGTAATTGCTGCTCTCACTCTCTTCTCACCCCCCAGTCTCTCTCCTTTTGTTACCTTTTCTCACTTCTTCTCAGCATTGAATAGCAGTAAGATCCACGCTTTGACAGGTAGACAGCTGACACACAAACAAAGCTTCAGAAAATAAAAACAAAAACAGGCAAATGGGCAGAAAAGTGATATATATACACACTGGATATCAACAAACATCAAAAATATCTCCTTGGCTATTCGCAATTATAGCTTCCTCGGGTGTCTCTTTATGAGAATTCATGTTTTATAAGAGGAGTTTACAACTGAAATTGGATACAGGCCTTTTTCAGGGATAAAAATTTAGATGTCTGTCATTTCTGCAGCAGTTGAAGTAAATGAAGCCTTGAAAATTCAAACAATTCTTACAGGTGTCTCAATTTCTGTTGACGACTTACAACAGCAAACTGTCTATACAATGACACTGTTGGAGAAGACTGTTACTACACTTCTTGAAGCATCATTTGGAGAAAAGGCCATTAACAAAGGGATGTCAGAGCTTTTGTGAGTTTCATCCTATAGCAGGACAATGAGCCAAAAACACCTCCAGGCTGTGCAGAAGGAAAGAACAAGACATGCAGGCTTCAAATGAGGCACAGTGTCCAGACTTTACAGATGAAGAGTGAAAGCAAAGCAGCCTACAGGTGGAATACATTTGTGGGAACTTCGGCAACAGTGGTCTGTCCCAGCTATGTTTGAGTTCAGCTGTAGATAGAATGACACTGGTGTGTTTGGATGTTGGAGTATAATAACAATAACTGGAAAAAAGGAGGTGATCCCAAACTTTTGAATGGTAATGTATATGAATAAATAGACGATGACACAGTAACACAACAGTTCAAACTGAAAATGCAATAGAGACAGTGGCGAGTTAGCCAGGATTACCAAGGACTTCTGTTCAGTGGCCATGGTTAAATGATAAAGTGCTTGAGCTGGATGTTAAAAGAGAGACACTAAGCAGACAGAGAGAACAGGACTAACTCCTTTTCTTCTATCGATCCACCAAATCCATACAGAGAAAGACAGAACTGCCTGTTCAGATCAAAGCCTGACAGAAGCCCAACACTCTGTAACAGAGAAAAGGCTGTGATCCCAGTGTCATACAAACTGATCTAATTACTAACCCCATTAGGTGAACAAAACACCACATGGCAGATGTTTTAATCCAAACCTCATAAAAATGAGAGACAGTCACAAATCAGGGTTAAGACCTGCTATTTCACAGCACAGGATTAAACCTATGACGCGTTGCAATCAGAGCACGACTGTCCCCTTGTTAAATCAAAACAATCTAACTCCGTCGTCCCACTCAGGTAAACGCTGCTCAAGAGGGAGTCTACAGCCAAGGAGTGTTTTACAGAGTCCTGGGATTTCCAGTTAATGCTTAACAGCCCTATGATTTGTATGTTACAGTCTCTAAAGGTTTTAACAAGTTATGCTAATTTGGTCTAAAACCTTTGGATTGGGACAGTTATAATAAACCAGGATGATCCTTTGGGTGCATTAAGTTCAGTGATTACAGACAAAAATATACATGTACTGTATGGAGAAAATACTTTTGTGATGTAGGAAGGAAAAGACATCACAAGGCTGTGATGCTGTTTGATCTTATCCGGAGGCTGCCTCTAAATGAGAAGGTGGCTGAGCCGCTGGCTGCTAACACTCTGATGTATCCAAGCAATACATTTAACAACTTCTCTGAACTTTTCAAGCCAAGGTTAAGTTAGAGCAAACATTTAGCAAAAACTGCAACCGATCTCTTGTGTAGCATTGTGAGATATGCTGTGCATCCACCCTCTGAGAAGAATTTACTGTAGATCCACCTAAAAATAGAGGAGATGCATTTCAGATAGTGTCCATTAGTGTAATTAGAGCTACTCCAGTGAGTCAAATGATGCTATTTTCTTGCTGTTTATTGTTTTTGCTTGATTTGACTTAAAAAAAGGAAAAAGCCTCCAGCTGAACTCATTTCAATGTACATAACTGTAGAGAAGCAATGTCTTAGTATTTGTCAGAAAAAAAAACCTGTGGCACAACTGGTGATTTCTACTTTTGTTCTTTTTCACACTTTATTCCACATGGTCACTGATCCCGAGTTCTCCGTGAAGACACTGATGTGCTTTAGCTGTGAACAAACATGTAATCTTGTAAATTTTTACAAATATTTTGTAATACACGAGATGCTGCTTTCACATTTCAAAACTGCTACTACTGTACTATTAATGTACATCATAACAGACCAAAACAGCATCTAATTTTAAAACTGCTGTTTGGCACACCAAAATGAGGAGAAGACGACGACTAACGGGGGCTGGGGCTGCCTTCTGCACACTGGTTGACAAAAAATTAAATATAAGATGAAAAGAAAGGCTCAACTAGAAGAGTCTCAGTCGACCGACAGGTCTCATGACTAATGACTCGACTATTCGGGGGCAGCCCTGGACTGTAGGCCGCATGTCTTTACAAACTCGTCCACTGATTTGGACTAGTGCAAACAAACTACAGGTGTGAAAATGCCCTAAGTTACAGTTTTTCAAAATTTTAACCCCAGAAAATCTGTTGATACAACAGAAATTCAATCCTATATAAAAGGTTCCATTAAGAAAAATTTATATTTAAATATACACCTGCAAAGGTAACTGCCACAGTTTAGGATTTAATGAATGAACAACCTTCTCCTGATAAATCCTCCACAGACTGAAGCTGTATCTGAGATCCCCACAAATATGCCATGTTTAAACACTTAACACATTTCAGCACGGATGAATGAACTAATATTTAAGGCAGATTTTGTTATGGCCCTCTTATTTTTCTCTTAATGCCACCCCAAACGTACATCCTACAGTAAGCAGAGGCCTGTGGGTTGTGTGGGCCAATTTTAGTTAAGTATTTATTTACAGATCCTCACAGAACCGTCATGTGAATAATTCATCTTCCATGCTCAGAGGAGTCTGTTGACAAGACAGCCTGATGCAGGAGAAAGGAAATCAATGCAGCTATGATGGGCAGCAGACTCCAGCATATCTGCTCCTGACTTGAACACATTAGGCGTCTGAGTGTGTGTGTGTGTGTGTGTGGTTACAGTAGTGACAATACAGTCCTATGTAAAGTGATCAGGTCTTGATTTGCTGATCGGAGTGAAGCAGTGTCCCTCAGGGGCAGACATGCTGCAGTGAAATGTCATCTCCACGTTCCTCCGGTTAGATGGTGTAGACAGTAACCCTAGCGCTCCGCTACACCTGAACCCTCCATCGCAAACAGAAAAATCTGCTGTGGTGTACAAACCACTTAACTGTAAGTCAAATGGATCTAATAATGTGAAGAGTATTTTGTAATGCACAGCTGCAGGAGCCGTCGCTTTTCCAAGTCTAATTTCAATGAACTCAAACTAACGTTATTTGTTCTCTTTATTGAAAAGTGGGTATCCTTTATATTTTCCCCACATGGCGTCAACTGCCTTGCGCTGCCACTTGGAAATTTATCGTCACTAAATTTATCATGCTCTAAATAAAATTTTTAGTGTAATAATAATAATCTCTAAGCCCTAGTAGTCCATTATACAACCAATGCTTTTACTCAGACACAGTGCAGTAAAAGCCCCGTGATAGACTGGCGACCTATCCTGGGTAGATCCCGCCTCACGCCCAATGTTGTTTGGGATTGGCTCCAGCCCCCCCACCTCCTTCTTTAGGATAAGCAGTATAGATAATGGATGGATGGACAGTACAGTAAAAGACAGGTTTGACTGTACATTTTCTCTGCCCACATTGTCCTCCTCACTTTTGTTCATCAGTGCATCAGTAACCATTGCATTCTACTCCACTTTCCTGTTTACCATCACTCAGTCAGCGTCAGCCCCATCCCTCTCTTATTCACTCTCCTCCCATCCTTTTAAATCTCCTTGAGTAGAATGAAGACAAACTGTGGAAAGATAATTGAACACTAACATGAGACAGAGTGAAATGAATGAAGACAGATGAAAAGCCTTCCTTGAGGACGTTTTCGCTCCTCACAGCCAAATTCAGCGATAGAGTGAGTGAGATGCCTCTGTGTTTTTCAGTTCATTGATTTGAGTAACAACAGTAAATACCCAAATTGAAGCTGCCTATTTTACTTAAAAACATAAAAACCCTCTCTGCCTCTTTAACAGTATTATCCCTTATGTTTGTTCTTCACCAGGTTTATTTCAGTTATGCGGTTACTACTACTGGCAGGTTTTAATGTTGCATTTTCTCTTGTACGCACCTGTGGATAACAGAATCGACTGAAATTAGAGCTCGAACAATACGGGAATTTTGAGGCTGACAACATCATCAAACAAACATTTTAAAAAGAAAAGGAGATGCAGTGTTTGTTTTTTTATTTGCTCTGTAATGTTCCAACCTAGCATTACTTCCAAAGATAAGTAGAATATCAATGACAGTAACTAAATTATCTTGTGAGTTTACACATTAGGACTGTCAGAGTGACTCTCTCCTGCTCTTTATTAGATTTGTGGACATTTATCAATTCCAGCCAAACTCTGTACTCCAGTTACATTTTCAAAACTCTCTGGTTCACACTTCATCCTACAAGTTTGTACTTTATAAAACTGAAACACACGGTTTAAAAATACAAAGCATGTAATATAAAGCTTAAATCTAACCACTGGGGTGCTTGTTGAACCCTGCTTTCCAATAACAAGTATCCTATCAAAAAATACTAAACTTACATTTTTCCTTCAAACAAAATTATGATACTACATTTACATTCTTGTTTTCTACATGTCTCATTAACTGGTGTGGATATGCAGCATTAGCCTCAGTGTTTTAGCATGAAATATAACCACGAGTGTATGCAGTATGTGCATGACAGTTTCAGCCAGCTTTCCGAGTTTACTTTAATTGCCAAGCTAACTACGTCTGACAAAATCTGCCAGCAATAGCTATCATTTCAGACAATAATGGTCATTGGATAGAAATGAGAAACCTGCAAGAGAAAAAATATACATTATGAATTTGTGCTAAATCTATTATCCGTGTAAACTGCCTACTGCAACTAGAGGGGAAAGCTTGACAGAGAGAGCAGGGCTCAACCTAATTAATAGCTGACAACCCACCAATAATGTAGGCCATGATGATTCATCAGTCAGGCTCTAAATAAAATTATTAATCAATTAATTTACAAAAGAGCTCATTCAGCAGTTCTATGTACAAATCGACCAGGAATAAACAGCACACACAGGCCCACAATCAACAAACAACAAATTGTGGTAATTTACAACTGGTACGTGTATGTCCAACATTTTTTAATTCAAAATATGAATACTTTACTTGTACTGTCTTGGCTGATAGTTCAAATAAAATCTGTTTAATTTCCCTTTTTGCATATCAAAGCCAAGGACAAGCCCAGCAGTGCCACACTTCACTAGATGCTACCTCTTTAAGGTTTGAGAAAACCGACTGAAATAATCACCATGCTCAACTCAGGAAATTTGTTCCAAATACAGCAAAGAATCCAATTACCTCTCACTGCTGGAGAGGTAATTGCATTGTGTGGAAAGTTTGTGCACTGATGTAATGTGATGATCTAGCCATGTTTACCTACACATCAGGAGGACTACAGGCTATTGAACATTACAAACATTAAACAGCTTTATGAATGTGCTCCAAAACATCAACAATCCTAATAAGAATAAAAAAAATTAAAAAAAAAACTCAGATATGCTCAATCAGCCAAGGATGAGGCAGATTCAGCAGGTGAATATGTAAGAGAACAATAGGAAATACCTGGGTGGTTAAGAAGTAGGCATGCGTATGAATGCTGGCAGGAGATGGTGTGTCACACATATGCACTCACACACACACACACACGAGGCACAGCGAGAAGTAACAAGAAACTCGGCAAACATCAGTTTATGATATCAATATTGATTTTAGATTTCAACGCATTTGGTTCGAATCTGTGGTTTTGACCCAATGCTGCTGTATCTCTGACTCGTATCAATTTTCCAATTCACATCGGTTTATCTTTACACCTCTAGGGACTACCTTGAGGAGACCAGCTGGGACATTGTCTTTGAGACTGTCCTCCTGTAAAAAAAAAATGACTATGTTATTTGTGCCAGCAGGTTATTACGACCAACAGTGACATGTTACAGAGAGATAACTTCTAGCAGTGGTTTTTGGTCAGGTGATTATCTCGCCTTCCTCATGTACGGGCTCTAGTTTTTCTTCTGGTCTCTCATCTGCTCTATATTAAGAACTGTTTTGCCAAGACTCCCTGTTCTGCAATCAAATTGTTCTTACCCATGAATACTGTCACCTTGACCTGGCTCAAAGCCCGAGTTTGGCTCTTGCCCATGTTAGCTTTAAGTTCCATGTAGCACTCTTGCTCAGCCTGCCTCAGCACCTGACCTGGTGTTCCCCTCGTCTAGTTTGTTGTCCCCGTCTATGATAAAGCCACGTGTTCTCATCACTAACATTGCCTCCCTTGTGTTCTTGCATTTGGATCCTCGTTCCAAGTATTAAACAGGACAATGTGTAACTAAAATCATGGAAGTTTTCCCAAGGCATTAAAATCCAGGGTATTAAAAGAGCTGTATTAATAAAAGTAAGACTGCTTTCTGCACAGGTAATACAAAACTACCGTATGTAGAAAAAAAAACTATTAAGGAGGAAAATTTCTAAGGCAATAACAGATTATAAAAATAAAAGAGGGAACTTTTTGAATGGGTAATAAGACAGGTAAGGATTAAATACATTAATGGGCAGGTCTAGGATGACAGTCCCATGAGTAACAGTCAAACCTGTTAATGACTTACACAACTTTTTATGTACATCTG